CAGAATTGTTGTTTCGTTTTTTTATGCATAATTAGATAGCGCTGGACGAGCTGATCGAGAATATGTATGATTTAATATTGTTCGAGTGATTTTTTAGTTAAATATTCTCACTTTTCTCGTGCCATCTACTGTTTCTAAAAGAAAAAAGAAAAGTCAATTTTCAATAAACAAGCTATTTCTAATTTTTTTCATTTGTTTCAAAGTCCAAAATTGTTTGTTTTAAATTCAGTATGAAAAACTGAGTCTAAGAAAGCCATTTATAAATGACTTCCTTAGACTCAGTGTTTCATGCTGAATACGAAACGTACAATTTTAGAATTTGAAACAAATGAAAACACTTAGAAATTGCTTTGATATTCAAAGTTGACTTTTCTTTTTTTCACTTTTAGAAACAGTAGATCATAGGAGAAAAATGAAGATTTTTTTAACTAAAAGCTCACTCAAAACATATTAAATCATACATATTCGTGATCAGCTCGTCCAGCGCTATCTAATCATATATAAAAAAACGAAAAAAACTTCTACTTTAAATTGGCATTTCCAAAACCTGACTTTTTATTCGTTTTGTGAACATAGTCGACCACTAACCAACTATCAGTCAGATAGAGGTGTTACTTGATGCCGCATATACAAAGTTTTATAGTTTCAAAGAGTGGTAGCGAAAAAGATTTATTAGAATGCAATAAAGAAATGAGAATCGACACGAGAATACGAGAGAACAGATACATGAGCCATACGGAAAGAAAGAAAAAGAAAACGAACGAATGTATTGAGTCATACTAAAAAAAGAGAACGTATATGCATTCAGACATTATAGCAGAACGAAAGAAGATATAAATGGAACACATATGATGTTTACTGTCCTCTACAGGCAACATAAAGTGAGAAAATGTAAAGATGTATTCCGTGAAGAAGACATTTTCTTCCATCACGTTCTATGAGAATATCACTTGTATTTTTTCTTATTCTTTCGCAATTTTATTATATCCAAGAACCTGTAGAGGACATAGAGAGAAACATCCAGGATAACCTGCTGTTTTCATTCAGAGATGTGAAAAATTATGACCAAAAATTATACGAGAAGGGATTCAAGAACATTGAATAGGATAAAGTTGATTTTTCTGCAACAACTAAAACTGTGTAATATCAGTTTGTAAAAAATCCGATCGTGAAATTGATGTTTTATTGATATATGAAAAAAAATTATAGAAAACGCAAGTCGTCGTCTTAGAGAAATTTATTATCCTTGCTCCTCTAGAATAAAGCGACAATGCGATCATTCTTTCTAGAATTCTTTTTTAATCTATAATTCCTAACAATAAGTGAAATAGAAGTGTACAACCTATGGACAAAGTATCAGATCTACTGGTGATGATCATCTTAGTTGGCTCGCATTCGTCACTGCTAATTTAAAATGAAAAAATGAAGCAGTTATAATACTTATTATTCTGTCTCTGCTAGATAATTTGCTTCGAATATGTCGATATCAAATATTTTATCGTAATTCAAATGTGTTTAACCAAAACTCACAATACTCATAAAACAGAACCGAATTCACTACGTATTTTTATCGTATTGAATACGAAGAATACAAAGGAACAAGTACGTACTTGAAGATTTTGGTGCGGTAAAACAAACTACAAGTATACCTATGGTCGTAAGTATACTTGTAATCATAGGCAAAACAAAGATAGGTTTGGGTATGAAACCCAACATTGACCAGTAACAATATTTTCTAGAAAAGAGAAACAACGATGATATTTGACACCAAAAGAAAAAGTCATACATGTTCTGTCGAAACGTGTAATTTTTGATTCGAGCGATGATGTTGTACTGATTGTTTCTTGCATTTTGGGTATTAGGAATTGATCTCGGCTCCTCGTTTGCGTGGTCGAAAACGGTGTTTCTATGACGCGCGTATTTGACCAATTTAACGTTATCGTCCATAGGAACCATTTCAATCTACAAGGAGACAATAGTTAAGGAAGAACACATATCTGACATGAGCATATAAATATATGTCTAATTATGGAGAATTTCTACAGAAAACTGTTCCTGCTGTATTTCTGCTCAATCCATTCAGCCAATATACGTATAAGGATACAACTTTTCTGTGCCATATCAACAATTTATCAACTATTAAATAAATGTATTTGATATGTTGAGGAGACTGCACACGATATCTGACGATATATTTATATCCGATCAAAACACTGTGTGCATAGTGCAGCATATTAAAACGCTTATCAAAGCTACCGCTTAATTAGTTTTTGTTGATTTTTATCAAAATTAATGCACATTATTGTTTTGTTTTCAATTCTCTTGTATGAATAATTTTAGATGAAAGACTTTCAACATGTTTTCTAACAATATTTTTTAAAACAGTCTCTTGCAGAATTTCAGATACGTCGAACCTTGATCAAGACATCACAATCACCATTTTTAGAATTGTTACTTGGAGAAGTAAAAGTTTCGTAGAATTTCTATATATAAAAGGCACATCGAAGTTATTTCGTCCTCCTTTCAACATTTGAAAAGAAGTTATCAAAGTGAGATTAGTTTTGGAAAAAAAAGTATATTAAAGTATTCAAACGTAGAAACTTTTTCGTTCAGAAGTATGAGATTTCATTTGGGCTTATTACAGAGGAGTATGAATATTTTCTATGGAAGCCTTTTGCTGTTTTATCTATTTTCACATATTTGAGCGAAATATATTTGTTCGACATCAGAAGATTATGAACTGATAGTATTTTGAAGAAACTGTATCTCACTGAGATGCAGCGGTCTAAGATAATTTCTGTTTCTTCACCTCTCTTTTTGAGTTGCGATTATTTTGGATACTCTGTTCAATGAGATTAAGGCAGTAGGAAAATCGAATGGTCGAGTTTATAGTTGCAATAATGTATATGAATAGATATTCATGACAATTATTAGCTAGACAAGTGTAGGTGATACCAATTGGTACATCGAGAGAAAAGAGACGATTATCTTCAAATGTATGAAACAATTTTCTACGGGTAACCGCCATTTCTCAACTGACATCTGAAAAAATTTATCAAGAGTCACCAAGAAGCAGCTCGACTGCTTACCACTTTTCGTCTCCCTCGAATATTGCTAGTAGCAATATTTGCTCTGAAGTATTATGTCATTAGTGATACTTAAAATACAATTGTGATGTGCAAGAAGTGTGGAAGATTATCGAGGACGGGTTATTTTGAGCTGTTGGATGCATAGAAATTATTACTAGGTGAATTTTTGAAAATCTGATACACAATTACTTATAGAACTGTTATCAATACTACAAGTAGCACTTAAAATATTTCAATAGTGTCTCCGGCTGCAATGTGGGAACATTGTATAAGTTATGACATCTGAAAAAATCTCATCAATCAGGATTTTCTGGACCGGCAAATCACTCTCCTCTCCTCTGTATGCATCTTTTCGAATAATATCGAAATATTGCTTTAGCTATATTTCCGGGAGGCCTTCATTGACAGTATATCATTTAGTTTCTTTCTGTTTGGCTGTATCTTCGGAAAACCTTATGCTTTTATTAAATCGATGACAACAACTCATTCTCAGCAATAAAAACGCCGTTTTTTCGCTGATTAAGAATCCTGCTATTATGTATGAATCTATTCTATGAGGTTCTATAGAGTTTTCGAATAGCTTGCATATCATTTGGTCATTTAAATCTACTGTCATGTGACGCTTGTAAAGGCTACTATTTCAAACCTTTTGCTGGCATGTTTTATGATGTAAAGAATTAGCCGTTATTTAACTGTTGAAAAAATTCTTTTTCAGTTTTTTTACCGACAGTTTTGTGAAACAAAAGCATAGAAGTTTCTCTCTTTCTGCTTTCAAATCTTTTTGCGTTTACGGTGAATATTAGATTTTTGCCTGCACATAAGTTCTGTTCGATTTAGTTTTACTATCATAAATAAAGAAAACTCTAGATTTTATTAAATACTATCTCAGAATTATACCTGCTGAGAAAGTCAGATCATAGAAAAATATTCTGAAGTACTTATTCTGTAGTT